TAATATGATAGGATATATATTAATATATTATATTAATACAAGTAAGCATGTATATAAAATCAAATCAATTAATACCAGATACATTCCTAATAAATAAAAGTATTTGCATCATAATAATACGCTCTTTTAATATTCAAACTCTGTCAAAATATATATACGATTTCTTGTTCACAATAGGTAATTGAAATAGAAATATAAATACAATATGCAGCGGAAAATCTAATCAGCGTGGAAATATAACCGGACAATAATGATATTCGATTGGACTTTACACACCTATCTTTAAGAGCGAAATATTAAACTATGGATAAAAATTTAATTTAAACTCTAAAAATGTAAATTTAATTTCTTGTGTTATAGGGAGTTTGTAGCGCTTCCCAAGCCAGATCGAAACGGTTCCCGGATAATTTTTCATCGTCTGGCAGATTCACGGTCCTCCCAATACATGTTTAATGACGGTATCAAGCTGCTGCTGATGTCCATAGACGCGAGCCTCTACACGGATGGTTGTTCGCCGGGATATATTTTCCTCTTTGACATGCATAACGTGAGACTTGGTCACTTGACTAGGCTGTCGTTAAATAGTATTCGCTGGTTCTTCGAGTATCTTCAGGATGGCATGCCGGTCAGGCTCAAGGCCATTCATGTATTGAACGCGGTCTGGTTTATGGACAAAGTCCTCGCTCTCATCAGACCGTTTATGAAGCGAGAACTTTACGACATGGTAAATTGATTTTCGATTTTTTTCATGAGATTTGGCTCGACCAATTTTGATAAAGTAGTTTTTAATTATAAATTTCATTAATTATAAATTTCATGAAAAAGTATGACTAAGCTATGCTCAGACGCCGATTTCAAATTTAACTTGCAAAATTTTCAAGTCTGTTATACCGGTGAAGGTCATAGAATTGTAAATAGTATTAGATTTACATACGCATGAATATGCGTATCGATATCATAAAGATACATTAAAATTCGTTATTTTATGTGATATAATAATGGCGAGTTTATTGAAATTATCTCATTTTATGCGTCTGACGTGCTTCAGCTATACAAAAAAGTTTACTTTAATTTTTCTTTTATTTTGTAGCTTCATGTTCACAGCGGTGACGTCTCCGACATATATTCTTATATACCGCCCGAGTCTTTGCCGAAAGACTATAATGGAGAATTGGACTATATCGCAAATCTTCATAGTAAATATATATAATAACTACGAAATATTTAGCAGAAGCTAAGCTTTAATACATTCTTTTAAGTAAATATGGAACTTTATAAGAATTAACTATTAGAATTATATATTTTCTACAATCTTTTTAAAGAATCTTTTTTTCTATACAAGAATAATTTTATTAATCGTAAAAATTAATTAATATTTATCAATCTAATTTTTGCAGAAGCGCATTGCGTGAAGTTGGATCAATTGCGAGATTATTTCCAAGAAGAGGAGGCCTTATTTCGTAATTATTCGCTTAACAAAGCGAAAATAGCGAACAATCAAAACATTATGCAAAGCGCTACCAAGGATCTAAAAGATCGTCAAAACGATGATGATATAGTTGACGCAAGATGTTAACATGTGTAGTGAATAGCGTAGATTAATGCATGTACAGGTACAGGTAAATAAAGGTCAGGACATCATTACTGCTTTCTAATTCTTACGTGTGATTTCTCGCAGATAATTGCGTCCTTGAGTCCAAGCTACCGTCCGCACATCCTCTAATATACTCCTTTCTATGTACGACCTTGTCTGAAATTATATATAACATAGTTAGAAAGGAAATCTTTTTCGAGATTTATTGAAAAATGTACAATCTTAGAATTAGAATAGAATTGGGAAAAGATTATCAGCGCGAATCAATTTATATTTCAAAATTGCGTACCTATTTTCGGTAATTTCGATTTAATTATTTGAATTTGAGTTGAAATGTAAAAGAGCTTTTCAAAAAAAGAAAAAAACAAAAATATAAGATATTTCTTCTCTCAAACATAGTTCTGAGGCAACATTGTCATTTATTTGTCAATATGACTGAGAGTCGTGATGCAATCTTTAGACATGATGCGTTTATGAAGACATATCGCAATCCTTTATGAATCTTTCTTAGAAAACGATTTCAAAGATCTGTAGAAGTGTCACAATTATGATAAATCGCGTGTCAAAATTATTAGAGAAATATATTTCGGCAAGAAGTAATCGCGCGATTAAAATTTTGCTCCTTTCAGGATCGGCGGGGGATATAATTTGATTGAGAGATAAAACCAACAAAGTGAGTTACCAATTCAAATTTCAAGATTTGATTTCCAATCTCTGATAGAGACCGGTCCGATATCCAGCAAACGCGCGATTTAACAATACTATTATACTGTGATTTTTAAAGATATAATGCCATATAACAGTTATATTCTAATACAAAATAAAATAGTCAAATAGAAAAGTCAAAGATCTAAACATACTCGCCGATCTTTGAATTCGAGCTTGGTGATCTCACGCGGCGAGAGCGCAAAGTTCCAGAATCAATGTTGCCAATGTCGAGAAAAATAAGTTCTCCATATCTCTGTAACAGAAAGAAAAAAGCCCTAGGATCCTTGATATCTCTAGTCTAGTACTATTCGCGCCATCTGAGGTAAGTTCCAAAATTTATTCCTTTGGGATAGAGTTTGATTGACCAATCAGGATAAAAGAACCAAAAATTTCTTTGTCCCGATTGGTCAATCGAACGTTGCTCTGCTCCCAAGAAGTAAATTTTGGAACGCAACTCTAGAGATTATCTCTTGTCAAGGAAGTGAGATTTGGAATTTGGAAGATCGATGGGAGTTCTCTAGAAGATCGCAGCATACTATGTTTACATACTTTCATATTCACATAACCTTTCTTGATGTTCACGAGAAGCGCGAAAATGTAAAAAACACTTTGTTGACATCCGCATAATTCTCGAGGATATTCGAAGTGGTCGATTATCTCACTGCAATGTCAAATAGATGAGTCATCGTCAGTTGCTATTTCCAGTCTCGCGTTCTCAATGATACCTGAAGGGTTTCTTAATTGTAAACAATGTGTCCAATATGTGCGCATTAAAATATAAACGACAAAAGTTATTTGAAACAAATTTATCACAAGTCGAAAAATAATTTGGCCTATTATGTAACATCGAATGTCGAACACACAATTGATATCTTTTAAAAAGTGATTTTCGTCGTACATGTGACCTTGCAAGTAATCGCGCAAAATGTTTTCGAGAATATTACGCGATATCACTGAAAAGTGGTTCAACGTACGGAGAACAACCAGAAGAAGCGTGCAGTCTGCCAAAGATACGATTTTCCGCGGCGGTATCATTATTATCAGCGTTATTCTCATAATTTGGTTGTCCATATTTCTTTATACAGCCTTTTACTATGCCTACATGCCGAGTATGTCATACGCACGGCCCGTAAATATGAATTTCAAGTAAGCTTTATTTATGATTCTCTATTTTATACATTAATTAAATAGCGACAATAATGTATGACATAATAATGGATATGACGTAGAAATATTCTTCAAAGATTTCAAAGTCTAAGAATAAGTGGACAAATGCTTCTCTACTAAATATGTAGAATAATAATAATAACATAACATCTCTCTATTGTTTGTCTGTAAATTAATGTAAATATAAAATAATAATCTAATTGAATTAAACAGAATTAAAAAATAATTGAGTTGAATAAAATGAAATTACTAAATCATATTATCGGCTCTTTATTGTAGATCGTGCGATGAAGAGAAAGGAAAATGCAGTTTTCCACAAGCTAATGTACAATTGACCAAGAGACAGCAACTTTTGATGGTCGGCCAGCCATACAAAATAAATCTGCATCTGGAAATGCCAGAGTCACCAGTCAACAAAGAGCTTGGTAAAGTTTCAATTATGAATATATATCATTGATGGAATATATCGTTGATAGAATATCATGTTTTATAAGAAATTAATTTCTTTTTCCAGGTATGTTTATGGTCTGCGCTCAATTGCGCAGTCGCGATGGATATCTTGTAGACCATACGTGTAGATCAGCAATGTTACATTATCGTAGTACATTATTACACGCACTTACAACTCTTACATTTTTTCCTATGATGATTTTTGGAAATGTTGAAGAGAAACAAGATGTTATTCTCGAATTGTTCGGTAATTTTGAAGAAGATCAGGTAATAATTTCTAACAGAATTTTTTTTCTTTACAATTTAGTTACAGTTTTACAAGATATTTATATAATATATATTGAGATAAATTTATATATTCCAGAACCATCCAGTAACAATTATATTTATTGAAATCCAATCAAGACACATAGAATTCTATTCTGCTAACCTCGTGATAAATGCTCACTTATCAGGGCTACGTTACTGGATGTTTTATTGGCCAATTCTATCAGCCTTTATTGGCATTGGTACAATCTTGTTTTTCATAACACTTGTGTACACATTGTCATATCTACATCTTGAAATTGAAGAGGAGAATTCGGACGAAAGTTTTGAAAAGAGCGACATCGACGACGACAAAGATCTTAAGACTGATTGTAAGTCATTTTACAATATTTCAAATTCACTTGTACGATTTTTGTATCAAGATTATAAAAAATTATCTTTTAAAGTGCCAAATACGTCACTTATAACAGATTTCAAAGATGAGGAGAAAAGTACAGAAGAAGAAAAGCTTTTTCAGGGAGGCCAGAGCTATATCCAGGAATTTTCTTTATCAGCTCCTGAATCATCAAGCAGCGAAGTTGTTTTATGTAAAGATATATAATTATTTTGCGTGATATAGGAATGAATGTTGCAACACAGTTGAATAATTAATCATTTACGGAAGAATATTAACGAAAAAGTTATTAAAATAGGAAATATATTTTTTATATTCTATAATATACGATATATTTAGCTCCTTTTTTGAAATCATATCTTAAGTAATCGAACCTTCTGTAGCTTAGTAATACTTTCAGGCATCCATCATTTCGTAAATGTCTCACAAAAAAAAAATTTTTTTTTTAATTAAAAAAAAAAGAGATGTTCAGAAATTCATATGCTAATGTCTTGACGTTTTAAAGTCATTCCTAAAAATATACTTGGAACAATGTTTTGACTTAATCAAATTTTTTAATACAAATAATTATTAACTGCAAACTTGTTTAAATTAAATGCATAAATATTCATTATAATAACTTATTATTTGCATGTATCTTTCTTACAATTATGTCATTATCACTTGAGCAATTTAATGTAGTCTTAACATACTTTGAATAGAGACCCCTTTTACCCCTGATTTATAGGCAACCCGTAATGCAACGAAGCCACGTTGGCTGAATCCAATTTACTTTTCAAGAAAGATTTCATTATACAGAACAAAAAGATATCAATAACAGAATTGTAATAAATTATAATTTCATTAACAAATGATAATTCTAGAAAGACAATTCAAAGTTTTGTCATATTTTGATGATGAATTTCACAAAGATAATTATATCGTCAAGTATGTGTATAAAACGCAATTTTTGTGGCATCTCATCATACTCTAACATTTTTTTGAAAAATTAAGATAAATACATATTAAATAAGCGTCATAAGCATCTTTCCGTCCCTAAAACGAAATCTTCACATTTTTACAGATACATAGAAATAATATATCTTTCAAAAAATGATTGTTCAATAACTACAAGAGATATTTATATCTTCAATGTATATAAAATAAATTCAATGTCATATTTCTATTGAAAATGCAAAGCGTAATCTTGCATATTACGGGTTTCATAGAAAATTTGTCATGACTGAAAATGAGATAAAATATATCAGCAATCAATGAACTTCGATAAGCATCGCATTTTCAGCAACATGTAATTCTCAAGATGAAACGTGCGCCTAAAATTGCAATTTAAGGATCATTCGAGCGATATTATCGGGACACGTCGGTGACGCGTTGAGAGACACTGGTTGCCTCGGATGACTGGTCGGTTAAGTCGAGATACCGGTCTCATCGTAGAGAAAACTAGCACCGGAGCTCAAGAGTCGAGCGTAGCGATAGTCGTTTCAGCTTCCGTGAGATCTCACACATATCGGCTACATGTGTGTAAGTGCGTACCTTCGCGAAGAGGAGAGCTAAGAAAAAGATGGGACGCGCGCGACGTGTATAAAGAAGGGGATAGGAAGCTGTGTAAAGGAAACGTTCCAAGAGGAGAGATCGGGAGGAGAAGCGCGCGAGAGATAATTTAACAACCGCGTATACATACACACAAACGTTGATCCTCGGCTTCGGACGTCCTCGTCGTGCTTCGTGAGGGTTCGGGCACGCGAGAACCACGCGCATCAAGGTCGCGGCCATCCACCTTTCCCTCGCGGCAAGTGCACGCACAGGCTACACCGTCGACGTCGGGGTCCGGTCGACCCGGCGGCCAACGCCGTAACCAGGATGACCGGCGGCTGTCTCGTTTTTCCAGGGACGCATGCGGTTGATGGTAGAAGGAGGAATTCCACCAAGAAACGCCCGATAATCTCCCCGATTCCTGGCGAATCCATTAAGAGATTAAAAATCCATTCGTTATCTATTAGCGATTTCCATTTCTTTAAGCCACTTAAAAAAATGTATGTGTATATATTAAGCGAGATCTTCCGAGGATTCTATTACTTTATAATAATTTTATGGAACTGATGGAAACAATGCGCATTTATTATGTTAATTCTATTGACAGTAAACCTCGTACAAATATTATTTATTTATCATTTATAATTCAAAGAAAAAATAATTAATTTGTAGAAAAAATTGGAAAATTGTAAAAAAGAATAGTTAAGATACAGTAGAAGATTTAAGAATTAAACAATGGCATATTACGTTTATATATATAAAATAGTAGATATTTGAAGACAATTTGAAGACGGCTTTTCCTCGGTGAAAATGTCGAGACATCAATAACTTGCAAGTTATAAGCGATTCAAAAAGAAGGGCTTTTCGCAAACGAACCTTATAAAGAGAATTAAAAGATCGTCAAAGCTACATTCTTCAATTAGTTTCAAGTAGAGTTTAATAAAATTTTAATTTATTGTTAGTTACAAAGAAATATGATGGCAAAATTGGAAAATTAAAAATAGTAATGACCTCCCTTGACATTTTCGTCGAGAAAAAATCGTTTTCATATAATCTCAAATTTCTAGAATCATTAGGTGGTGACCCAGGGATACTCCGTATATATATGTAATATTATATATCTAAATTTTGATAATTATAATATGAGATATTATCATCACATAAATCACATTAGTATGACTCTGTGATATAAAAATTCAATCCTCGAGGCGTAAAATTTAATGTAAAATGTACTATTATAAACAATTAGGAAATTGCTTCTACCGATTTCTATATTATTTTAAAGATATCTAATGTTTCAGATATTTTATTTAAGTGAATTGATTCATAAAATGTGATATTTTATCATTTCCTATTACTCGGTTCAAATTACAGAATTGTTCAATGATGTGATTTTCTAATTATTTCGAGCGGTACATTTAATAAAATTAAAAACAGGAGATTGGAGAAATGTCGAGAAGAATACGACTAATGCGACTTTTAATTTTTCAGGACTTTAATATTAGAATAGATATTGCAGTTTAATAACGAGAAACGAGTTGTTATATTTTTAGATTCATTTTGCAAAACTTTTATGGATATCGAATGTATGTATTTCTAGAATTTCATATTACTCATTTGTATGAGATATTAAGTATGAAATATCAAACTGCGGCCCTGGCTAAGAGAAAGGTGTTGTGGCAGAGCGGAGTCCGTCCTTCGAGAAGAAGCTCGGTCCAGAACTAATCGTCAAAATATAAGGGAGCCTGTCGAGCCACCTGCTTGATTCGATAGGATACCGGTTACAATACATCAGCGCGAGAGAGGATATGGCACTATATTGCAGAAAATTATGGTGGAGCGTTGCGGATGATACCGGTGAGATACATTGGCGAGATGTGCTGCTGCTACGTTTCTCCCCCATCGTATTACATATACTTAAAGAAAATTCGAAGTATTAATACCCTTTAAATTTCGCACGCACGTAGACAGGCACATGTGTGCGAAATAATAACAACTGCATATATAATGCGCGTGTTCTGCAGAGCGGATAGATGGGGTCTTTGAATTTATTTATAGATATATTTATAAGCATCGTTTTATGAAAGAGGATGATACAAGTGCAATTGTACGCGTTGAGAAATCGTCGTCTCTAAGAAACCTTCTGGAAGATGGAAGTGTATTGTGTATACATTTGAGATGATACGGAAAAACATCTTGAATCTTTGTGTACGAGATCTTTGAATTTATTTATAGATATATTTATAAGCATCGTTCTATGAAAGAGGATGATACAAGTGCAATTGTACGCGTTGAGAAATCGTCGTCTCTAAGAAACCTTCTGGAAGATGGAAGTGTATTGTGTATACATTTGAGATGATACGGAAAAACATCTTGAATCTTTGTGTACGAGAGTGAATTCAAGACGATCGGTTTTAGTATCGAATTGAAAACTGGCGCGATCCTTGAATATCTCGAAGAATCATGAAATTCTAATTGTCCGCGTTCCGATTTCGTTCTCTCTCTCTTTCTCGATCTTAGCCGCGCTGCAGATTCCCCGCTCATCATCCGGCATCTCGATCTCTATCCGGCATTTTTTTCTAGACCCATTACACATAATGGCGCAATTTGTGTAATGCTCCAACTCGGGCGCTTCCGCCGAGCCTCGGCCGCGTCCGGCCACGCGAGCAACACGCGATCGCCGACTCGCGATCTGGCCTGGACCGGTTCGGGAACCTGTTACCGGAGTCTGCGAGGGGGAGAGAACCGGTTGCCGCCGCGCGTATCTTTCCTACCTGCTCTCGACCTGCGTATAAACCCCACCTTCTCAACCTCCTCGATCTACCTCGCGCCCTCCTTATTCCACGGGGGCCTTTGTGTGCACATGTACGCATGATTTTTTGCCACGGGGAGATGAGAGAAGTAGAGAGGAGCAGCCGGCAACAGAAGCGGAGAAGGGCCCGGGCGAGGTATAAGCGGCATCAGAAGATGGCCGGGAGGTTTGACCCTGCCAAGAATCCTGCATCTGCCTGCTCTCTCTCTCTCTCTTTCTCTCTCTTTCTCTTCTCTTCTCTTACTCCGTCCAGCGGCTAATTTGCCGTCTCCGACTGATCGTGGAACCTGTTAGCGCAGCGAAATCAACGCGAAAGTACAGCCGAGAAAGGCGGTTCGAAGATAAACACAATCCAACAATCCTCTCCGTCCTCCAACGGATAATAAAGATATAACTGATTAATACATCGAAATTATTCAACATCCCTCACGAGACGATGTTTTGATCATTCCGGATTTATTAATACGTTAACACGTATTTTTACGATCTCTATTAACAATCGTCAGGCTTTGTCGATATTTTTCTTTCCATTCGACGAGATAAAGATATCAACTCCAAAACACAATGACGCAAGAATTTAATAGGAGAGTTCAAAGTTAGGTTTGATCGCGAGCGAGATTGCTTAAACAGAACATGAATAGGGAGAAAAGGAGTATAAGGGAAAGGGAACGCGAAGCGCCACACTCTATTGTTACTACTACATTACGGGTCCCTGAAGAGAGAGAGAGAGAAGTGCTGAATAAGCGTTTTTAATGCATCACATAGGCGTTAGCGACGATGGATTAGCTTGTTTTTCTAATTCATTAAAAGTTTGCGCGCCTTAGATATCTATTTCGGCAATCTCTCTCTCTCTTTTTTTTTTTTACTCGGAAGGGCGCACGATTACGCAGCTTTTGTTTTCTGCGGTGTAGATAGGCAGGTATATATACATCTCCCCTATACTTCTTCCCATCCTCTCTACCCTCGTTCGTGTCGCCCTTGCTGCACTCCTTCGTTCTTTCTTTCGTGCGAGCGCGGTAAAGCTGCATCGGTGTTTGCGGTTTCCCGCAGCGGCAAATGCACCTGGACCGACTTGCGCCATCTTCTCCATGGGTACAATCGACGATCGTCCGTTTGTCGGTTGTGCTCAGATTCCTTCAGCGATAAAGGTAGGAATGTAAAGGGGAACGAGAGAAAGAGAGAGACTTTATCTTTTTCTGCGTATCGAGAAACGAAAAATAATGCGTCGAAATATTCGTTTCTTGTAACTTGGAAACCTACGTAATGTACGAGATATCGACAACTCGCGATTTTAATTTTAACCATGCAGTTTTCTATTTTAAAAGTTGACTTCTCTCCTCGAAAAATATCGAAGCGCCAGTACACTTCGAGCTAAACGAGTGAAAAGAAAGACTTCTCTCGCGATCATCAAGACGACAAATATATGAGAAATAGATAAATATATGAAAATTAAATTAAAAAAATTAAAAATTAAATTCTTTATCTAATTTCAGATATAAAATGCCGATGTCTTCCGTTTCCCATCAGAGTTCGCAGGTATGCTATAGCCTACGTTAACCGTATTGTCGCCAATTTATCCACGATACGAGCTCACATTTTGTGGAAAGGATCGTGATCGTATTACCATTGAAACCTTTCGACGAGCAAGTTTCTCGACAACGAGCCACCATTACGCTCCTGCTAAGCCGTCTTAGCCGGTTTTACAGGTTTCGAATGACCACAGTAAGTTCACGCATTACGTTGTTTCATTTATGTGAATGCCTCCACAACGATTTCGAAATTTCAACTAAAATGCATATAATAATTCATAGAAAGTAGCACTTTCCAAGATTCTATACAAACCATTGCAATCCGTTCAGCTCCTTGCAAAACAACCTTTACATCATCGGAAATGCAATTCCGTTATAATTCAATGTTATTGATATCTTCCTCCAAGTGTTCGCAACAAAAAAGCGCTTTGTAATCTGTTTCAAGTTCAACAGAAAAACATGTAAAAAAAAATATCTGCGAAGTATATATTTTTTATATACACGCATCATTGAATAGCAATAAAAAAAAAAGAAAAAAAAAAAAAATTGGAAAACAAAATACGATTAATTTTATCCTCATCGAAATCACAAAAAAAGCAATTTCATCTTTTATTAAAGCTGCTATATATAAACAGAAGCAATTACTATATAAATTGAAACATTTACTGCAAGTAAATGCAAAAATAGATTACTTCTCGAATGGGGTAATTATCGAAGAGACTGGACTATTTCGTGCGACTCGATTTCCCTAAACTTGTACGTCCCTGTTCATAAAGGCCAGTTCTATAATACGATCTCGGTTGTGGGCAAGGCACCTTCTTACCGAGACGGCATGCATACACGAAGCGGACAGATTCGCTAGTTGAGCAAGCGTCGTCGCTGAGGAGAAGCGATAGGGATGCTGCGCACCTGCTTGCCTCCAGGCAACATAGTGCTCGCTTCTTGTCTATAGCCACCTCTTTCTGATCTATTCCCCTTGCTTTAGAGCAGCAGCGGTTTCCAACCTCTCTTAATGCGATATTTTTATTGGAATTTTTAAAACCAGTTTTATATATATATATACTTGGAGGAAGAGGAAAA